CAATAGGTGCTTGCGACACGACATGACCAGAGCCTGCACGAACGGGTGGTTCTTTATTGAGGGTGACGGCAATAAGCGTCGGACATTGAGAGAAGAATTGAAAGCGGTAGCACGAGACGAATTGACGATCGAGAGCAGGACGCTCGGGGCAAAGGACAGGAGATTACGGAGGGATAATAATAGAAAAGGTGGCCGGGGCGAGAAGATCAGGATTAGGAGAATAAATACCGAAAATATAGGGAGGGGGTGGGTGTAAAAGAATAGACCGAAAGCACGGGCGATGGATAACAACAATAGGTGAGGAGAAACCGGTAGAGTATTTGGAGCTGCTGCTGCTGATGATGGTGCTGATGCTCGCTGATGCTTGCTGGGGATTGTTGATGATGCCGATGATGATAATAATAGGTAATGGGCAGAAACAAAAAAAAAACAGTAAGTAGTAATAGAAGTAGTAGTAGTAATAAAAATAATAAGAATAATCAGAAAGAAGCGCAACGAGTTTGGAGGAAGTGGAGAGCGCGGTGGAGAGCGCGAAGAGGGAAAGACGCGCAGAGAAAGCAGAAGGGTTTAGATTTTAGTGTTAGTTTTGGGATTAGCTCCAGTCCGGGCCTGGCTGGGAATCGCTCCAAAAGGGAAAAGGGAAACTACTAGCAGCCCGTCACTTGCTTTAGTCCCGGTCGCGTTCCAACAGAGCGGAACCTCTCTTTCCTTTTTTTTTTTCTTGCTGCACACCCGTGGTTAAAAAGGATAGAAGGGAGATTTTGATAGAAAAATAAAGGAGGAAGAACAGAGAAAATGAGCTAGACTAAGAGAAGGGAGAAGAACAAGTATACGTAGTCGGGAAAGGGGACTGGAGAAAAGCGAACCATGGTTCCCAACAGTCAAAGTGGATGGATTCCATTCCATGGCATGATTGGGGGGAGAGAGAAAAGGCCGGTAGGGAGGGGATTCGACCCGTGTCTACTTGAACTCTTCTTCTACGGAGGTCTAAGCTGTCATCCATTCAAAGCTGCTGCTGCTGTGCGGAGGAACCTCCGTTCAAAGTTCACTCTCTACTACTTACTTACTACTATTCGACTAGGAACTCACGACTACCGGCAGTAGTCCCTTCTCGTACAGCCAGTCAAACGACCCCCCGTTCTGTCGCTTCCCTTGTACCACTTACAGGAGCCTGCTGATAGGCAATCTTCCTCACTACTTACTTCATCACCTAGTACTAGTACTTTCTTAGTATCTCGACTACAATTCCGATCAGCCAAATCCTTCGAGGTCATCAAAAGTCGGTCAGCTGATGGTCGATCTACCACAGATCGTGGAACCGCAACATCCACCCGGGCTAGATTTAGTCCCCTGGCCCGGAGTAATTACTTAGTCTTGTAGCGCTGTAGGTAGTCCAGCTAGTTAGTTAGTCGATGAAAATCACCGGTTCGCTCCCCTACTCACTCAAAATGAAGTGGGGTCTTTTCCCATCAACTGAGGGGAATCAAAACTCTTCAGGACGTTCGTCATGCGATGCCGCTGCTACATGCAACGGTAAGCACTGAACGGTTCATGTGGGCTGAATGGGACCAGCAGAAGGGACTCGACGGTACCGAGCATTATTATTCTATATCAACATCATACGGTTTAGTATATAGTAAGTAGTAGTCTATCTCAAGCAATCAATACTCCGGAGTAATCTATAACTTATCATGGTAATATACCTAGCCCCAGATGATCTGAAAGGAAGAATAAATCGATAGATAGTAGCCATCCGATAGCTCCGTATTCCGTATTCCGGATACAAAGTACTACCAAAAAAACCCCAATGAAGCCCCAAGCCCACCTTCATGATCAACTGACACGGATCGGCAGCCGTGCAGGAGCGGAAGTTCGAGGCTGAATGATACGAGAAGACAGTCGATCAGTCAGAATCTCCAGACCGAGGCAACGATACATGCCGGTAGATAGGTAGCAGTAGTAGTAGTAGTAGCTACGGAGTACAGTGTATCTATCTCCGCCCTGCACGTCGACCGTCCTAGTTAGTACTCCGTAGATTTTCATCCTTCTGCTCAGCCCGCGTCCAATGAGAGTGGCTGAACCCGATGCTAACGTCACGGTGTGTTCAGATCCCATTCATGGGGAAAGCTGAAATAAATGAATGCCTGCTCTTGGCCTGCAGCTGAAATGCTCCCGTTACTGCCACCAAAGTAGCACCAACTAAAGAGGAGAGACAAGGTAAGCCTTCTACATTAGTACTAGTTGATTACTTTTGATTAGTTGTATATACGTAGAGGTTACTATCTACTCCTTTTTTCTGTCCCCCTTCCCTCCTTACGACCAACAACACTCATCAGCTGAACCCAGATTCTTTTATGACATCGGGCGTACCACGCTATCTACTTGACCACCTAAATACCGAATTCAGGTACCCGGATTTATTTCTGGTTACCTAAAAAGGGGGTGAGGGGGGGATGAGGGGCGGCATCGGGCACGCGACGCAAAAGGAGTATAAAAAGAGAATAGTCGAGGGACAGAAGAAGTGGATCGTACCGGTAGAGATGAAGATAGGTACCTTTTTCTCTTTTTTTTCTTTATTATAATTATCATTCATTTCCCTCGTTTGGCATCTTAAAAATGGGGAGCGTCGAATGAGGATAGCCCATTGTCCCAAAAAAGCAAAAGGGATTGAATGAAAGTGGGAAGAAGTGGGCAGTTGGGAAGGGGGAGAGAAGGAGACTTAGTTGAGGGTAAAAAAAAAAGGGGGGGCAGGGCGAACAGGAATCACGATTGGATCGGAGAGGGAAAACAGCAGTACGTTGGCCGGGTCATTCGGGAGCCGTTAAGTGCCAATGACCGCCTCGAGGAGGAACGCCCGGTGGATGAAGCTGCGGAGTGGATGACAGCCGGTCTTGCCTTTCTGAGCTCATCCTTGCCTCTTAGTGGCTGACCGTTGCGGCGGATCTCCGGCCGATCGCCGATTTTGGTCAGTCTGTTAAGCACCAGGTTTACTCCGTTATGGACCGGGATGTTCGTTGGTAAATTAGCATCTAATTTTCGCGGCTGAACGGGTGAGCTGAAAGTGAAATGATGGGAGGGAAATTAAGCACATTTTATTCTTCTTTTGGTCTTTTTATTATGTCCGCTTAATAATCGCTAAGCATTTAACCTCACATGAATCAGTGCTCAGACGTAGAGAATAAAATACCATGAGGAGGCAAGGTGTAGTGCTACTACCGATTGACTTAGGGTAATCTGGTCCAGAATGGCTGGATTCCGATGCATCAAGACCAAGGCAAGACCGTATCCGCATTCCGAAGCAAGGACGTCATTGCAGAAAAAGCAAACAATGGGGGAGAAAAATTCTGACCGGAAAGGGTTGCTTCTTCATGCCTTGCAGCTGACATCCCACCATCTACCATCTAAATCAATCAAATCCCAGCATGAGCCAAAAAGTCCCCGCGTACTCAGCCTCCACCAGTAGTAAATCGGCATCCTACCTTATACGGAATAATAGCAAGGCCCAAATAACAATCTCCGTAGGGCAAACCCATCCCATCACTCATCACATTTCCGTTGGGGTAAAATCACATAATTTGATACGTCGCACATCACAGCCCACATCCCGCCCGCAGGAGGGGAAAGAGAAAAAAAAAATGAAGCTCGAATCCCGGCGCCTGCCTGATACCCATCTGCATGGTGATTGGGATCTGGGGTGAGAAACAGAATTCCAAGGCTACGGTAACACGGCCGAGTGCATTCTATCACTCTTTTTCTCTCTATGTGTGGGCTCTGTGCCCCTCACTTACCTACAGTAGTCAACTTTCCCCAAATGATGAATAGCACAAGCTTATCTTGGCCGGGCCAGTCCCTCTTGGAGATGCAGCCACCAGGCTCAAAGAGGTAGTACCTAGTACTTACTATATGGTACTTTTGACAAATTGCAGGCAGACATCTTTCCCTCATCAGGCCGCATGACTCATGGCCTACAAGGAAGATAGGCATCTAGACTAGGCCTTCAAGTTGGCGGCTATGAGACCCAGTCACAATGCCTCATTCCCATACCGATACCGATTTGTCACTTGCATCCCACACAGACACGGCACACATCACTTTGCGCAAGGAAAGTGGAGCAGATGACCAGTCACAAGGAATCTTTTTTTCTTCTTCTTCTTCCTTTTCTCCCCGATACGTTGGTCGTTTTGGAAAGTCACAGATCGTCGATCTTACTCATCGCTAATCAGATAGAAATGATAAAACATGGTCAAGATACTACATAGATCGACACGTGCTCTACACTGCCAGGATATAGGGAATAGGCAGGCAAGCAGGCACCAACACATCATTGCTGATCGCTTATCTACCTGGAATGATAGAAGCTGAAGCCCTTGATAGTCACCGATATTCTTACTATGCGGTGAGTACTTACTAGCTATGGACCAGGACAGTGAGTGAGTACATAATTACCATCATGCCAGCCGCTTTCACACCGACATGTCAAGCACGATGCAAGATGCATTTCAATCACTTCGCACAACTGCATTTTCTATCCTATTGGTTGGAACTCTAGCGGTATGCTACCTACACGCAGAGTACCATGTTGTAGTAGTATTGACAAGGCTGTGCTTAAATCACCATTGGTCTGTGGCACTTCGGGAATTTTGATGTGATGGACACTTGATCTGGTCAATGCGCGGGGGTGGAAGGTATCATCATTTGGGCGGCTAAGAAGAGTACTGATGTTGCATTTGTAGCCTGTGTTGAAGCTGTATACCTGTTACTGATAGTAAAGTGAGTGTTTTTATTGGTATTTTGCAACGATGAGTATCAATACACGGATATGGAGTAGTAGTCGAGGCTTCCATTCTTCCTTGACAGGAAGCTTACTGTTCACGACGTTACTTGTAGTTATCTTACACCTCAACGTATACTACTCACTTTGTATGTGACCTTTCCAGAGCCATGTTCACCATACATACATACACTAGAAATGATAAGACAACATAAACAACTCAAATATCCTACAACCTAGCCCTCCCCTCTCTCCCCTCCAACACCCTCAAGACCTCCCCCACAGCAGCCTGTCCCCTCTCAATCGCACCATCCACAAACCCCCTCCACCCATCCGCCCAATCCGCGCTCGCAAACACAACCCGTCCATGCGGCTTCTGAAGCTCCTCCAAGTACTCTGACGCAGTATTTGGTCCCCAGCACGCCCAAGCCCCTTTCGCATATGGGTCATTCATCCAGTCATGGGTAGCATAGGCATCAACAGTAACACCCGGGTTAACATCATGCTTGAACCTTTGCAAGATATGTTTACTATCCTGCTTATCGGTAAGTAGACCGTTGTATCCGAACCCAATACACCAGGTACCGGATGGACCTGTTGGCCGAGTTCCGTTGTGGTCTGAGAACGCAAAGACAAAGCTCGAGTCACTGCCATCGTGCGCAGTGAATAACCAGCCCGGTAGTGTTTCGCGAAGCTTAAAGTGGATCTTTGCGCCTTTGTTGATGTGGCCCTTTGCGATGGCTGCTTGTCTGAGGGGGGATAGTGGGGGATTGAACTGGATGTCAGTGAGGCAATTCCTACGTTTGTCCCTGTTAGTCAAGATCCAGAGCATGAGAGAAAGGGCAATAGGGCAAGAAACATACAGCGGAATCGTCGACACCACCGCCCCAGCCCCAACCCTCCTCCCATCCTTCATAACAACCTCCACCTTCTCACGACCATGATTAATCCTCTCAACAACCGCCCCAAAGCAAACATGACCAGTAAACTCCCCCAAAACCGCCCTCGCAAAAGCCGTCATCCCCCCACTCCCCAACTTATACACCCCCGCCAACTCAAACACCCCAGCCATTGTATGCCCTCCCAGCGCAAACCACCTCAACGCCTCCACAAACCCAATATCCTTCACCGGCGCACTCCCAAACGTGCTAACATTCGACGCAAACAACTCCTTCTCCCACACCGACAACCCATCCAAATCCGACCTTTCCAACCGCTCCCCCACACTAAGACAATCATACCTCTTCCACGGCGCCGGCTCTCTCAGCGAATCATGCGGATAAGGCATCATCGCACGACTATCTAGTCCATCAATAGTGAAGAATTTCGATGCAACCCGCTCAAGCGTAGCCCCATACTCCTCAACAGACACCTTTTCCACAATGCCACTGCTGGACGACTTGAACCACTGATTAACAGGCGCGAACGCCCCCGCAGATGTCTTCAGATTCCGGTGCAACCCGTACCGATGCAGCTCGGCATACAGATGCGGCTGGTTCCAGTGGACCCAGGTCCCGCCCATTTCGATCTCCTCGCCCAGCACCTTGGCTGTCCATGTTCGGCCGCCGATGCGGTCCCGTGCTTCGAGGAGCAGGACGGAAAGATTGTGCTTCTTGCTTAGGTCGCGGGCTGCAATGAGCCCCGCGAATCCGGCCCCGATTACGATCACGTCGTAGTGGGTGAGGAGGGTGGGGGTGCTGGGGTGGACGGCGTCGGTGGGTAGGCCTGTGGTGGCTTGTTTGGGGGTCCAGAGGTAGCCTTCTCGGGAGCGGGACATGGTTGATGCTGTGGGTGGTACGGAGGTTGGTGGGATGTGATGGGTTCATGTGATGGTGTATATACTTAGTGGGTGTCTGACAGGATGTTGGGCTGCTCAAGTAGTTAGTGAGGATGGGCTTTTAAAGAGAGTATAATTGAGTGCTATGGTGATAGCCGTTACTTCCGAGTCCTACACATTTTTATGTTCGGTGCTAGATTGCAGCTGATAACCTTGACAAGAGATGAGGGCAGGATGGCATAGTTGACGCACTATTTTGCCAATTCGGGAAATGGTGCGCTTAGCGGGATATTAATTCAGATATACAAGTGAGGGGAACGGGGCGTATCTAATCGGCTGGGCACTGATTGATCCTTTCTGGGCTTCTCGAGTCCACGCGTAAGCAGTCCTCAAGGAACTTCCATTATATGCACTGCCAACCAGACATAGTAAGCTCCAGTCACTACATTGTGTCGCAGAACTCGGTCCAATCCATATTATGCCTCTGAAAAGCAAAAATAAGATTTGTTTAATCACTTCATTGCCAGCTTGCTAGACTCTACCATATATGAATTCTACAACATAATTCAGTGACACATATTAAAGCTTCGCCATCTCACGACCCCCACACTTCCACGCCAACCCATAGCTATCCGTGGAGAAAGTGATAGTACTGCCCCTCGGAAAGAAGAATGTTTCACCTCTCCTCACTGTAACGGACTGTCCAGTTTCATCACGAAGATTGATTTCCCCTTCACAGTAATAAACCCACCATCAGTTGATATATGTCTTATCATCAAAGTGGCATGGTTCACTCACCCTCAATGACCACCCCAACCTCATCATACGAGTATGTCGGAGGCGTAGATTCAGGTCCTTTCTCAATTCGGAACCAGGATCCGACGATTGGGTTCTTCTCGCCACTTTCGCTTGTTCCTAGTAGGTCCGCTATGTCCCTGCTGTCAATGTCTCGTCGATGATAATAATGAGGAAGGAGGCGGTACCGAAGAAGATGTTGGGTATGTCCCCGTATCTGGGGACATTGTACATTGCAGTATTGCTTTTCACTTGGAGAACCATGTTGATGGTGTTATGTCTCGAGACTGGGATGGAGGGGGAGGGGAGAAAGTGTTTGGTGTTCTGGTAGGTTTGGAATGAGGCTACTAGAATATATGTAGCAGTTGCTTAGCCGAGGGATGAACGGCCTTGGTGGGTTTGCTGTAGCAATAGTTGCTGGAAGGAATCCCGAAGAAGAGTCAATCAGGATACTAAGAGTCGGAGCATAAGCCGTTCCATATTAGCGTATCACTGACTCGTAGTTTAAGGAAATCCCTCGCCAGGCAAGATTCACTATCCAACTAGAAAGACATCTATAAGTATGAAAACCGACCAATCGCATTTCTTGTTCAAGTTGACGCACTATTTTCCCCAATCCGGTTAGTGCCGTAGACGGTCTAACCAAAGATCGACTCCAGCTTCTCGGAGCTCATCACTTCGGTCCACTGGGTGTATTCCCATTCCTGGCCAGGCCCCTCAGCGGCCCTTCTCACGTCGGCTAGAAACCACACCCTATCGAGAATCTTCTGCGCGCGGCCAATAACAGCGAGTCCTACAATTTCTTGAACGGTCTTGATGCGCTCGCGCACGAAGTTTCTCCAGAAAAGATAGGTATCCTGCTGCAGTATGGATGCGGGGACATCGGACGAGAAACAAGGAAGTTGCAAAGCGCTACCCGCGATAATCAATGGAATCGTGAGCACACAGTAAACTCCAGATGTTGACGGAAGCACCCCAATGGCGGTAAGCACATTGGTGGCCAGGCTCAAGATACTGTGGTTTAGGCTAGTGTCCACAGAAGGGCCTCCGTGCAGTTCGGGGAAGGTCATATAGAGCTGAAGTAATCCTACAAGCCGGTAGACGCGTGCAATTCGTTGGAGGTGATCGACAGGTGTCCGGGAATCAACCGTGTCTTCTATGCGATCCGTCGATAAGATTTTGTAGGAAAGGAGCGCAGTTTCAATGGCTCTAGCCTGCTCGAGCATGTCGGGACCTACATGGCCCCACTCTACAGATAATTGTCGGGCAAGAGATCGCTGCCTTGTCAATATACCAACTTGGGCCAGATGTATGAAAAGCGGTGTGCAGATTCCTGTCCAGGGATTGACGTAGATGTCGCATCTCTCGTCCTCAAGACTGTACGGCATCAGGTAGGATATCGAATCCAGACACTGGTTATGTACAAAAGACGCGACTGCTTCCCAGTAGGACATAATCCCCGTGATTGTGTTTATTGTTCGGGGGCAGCGCGCTGGGACGGTAGTAATCCATTTCTGGAACAAGCTGCGTGCACCATGGAGATGCGTTACTCCGAGCTGCGACGGATCATGCCACCCCTATGAAAGGCCGTCAGTTTGACATACAAAAGGCTGGCATAAGCACACGGAGGATGGCTACCTCTGTCATGCCCAAAAGTATGCTACCAAGTAATATCTCGGCAATGTCATTGAGCGGTGATCCAGTGTTTATTTCTGGTATCAGAAACCCCTTTGTGAGTTTTGCCTTCAAGCAGGAGAGTGCACTTGTCCGGTGCCGCAGTGTGATCGCCACCATATTTCTTTGTTTTGTGGTTAGATGAGCGGCAGACATTGATAGCACGCAGTAGTGAATCAGAGGTCGGGAGCTTATCAGGGATCCCACTTCGACGCGGAGGAAATTCTTTTGTGAGTCAAAGCACGAGTTGACAGGACATACATTGGAGAAATAATGCCAAAGAAGTGCAGTGTCATCGTCTTGTGGGGTAGACAAAGTCCGTTGCGCCATAAAGGTTCTCGTGTATGAATCACCACAATCATCACTTAGCAAACTTGAAGAAGCCCAGATATCGTTCGACGGCAAACTGTTTGCCACAGAGATGAATACGGGGTCTGATTCAGCAGCAGTCTCGTTCTGCGTGAACTGGACATCTGCCTGCACAGACAGAGGACGTGTGGCGCCGTCCGACACTGTGGAATCGAACAAGTTGGGTTCCACTGACTGGATGGGCTCTGTCTTCCGGAGAACCTGCTCGGAGGACTTCGGTGCTGCGCTATTATTGCCACTTTTCCCCACCTCATATTTGGATGACCACTTCAAAGGACGTTTGTATCCCGGGCATTCGAAACCTTTACGGGTGCATTGAATACACACAGGAAGCGTTTCATCGCATTTGATTCGCTGTCAGCCAGGTCAGCTTGTACCCTCCTGAGGAAGTACCCTATGAGTTGCTGGTCCCACCCTTTGTTTGCATCTTAGACAGCCATCTGGCATCAGAAGTATGTCAGTTCCCTCAATGTATGCACACTTGGATCATCTTAGCTACTCACTGCGAGTCTTGACCCTGCGGCGTGAGACGGGCTGTAGGTCCGACATTGACAGCAATTTGGGGAGAGAATGAGTACAGTAGTAGTATTGCTCGTGAGGACAGTGTTGTGGAGTAGATGAAGCTGATTGTAGATGGCGGCAATAATCCGCCAGAGATGATAAGGTATCTCACTAGTGCTTCCCCGCAATTCCGCTGTCAAGATAAGCATCGGAACATTCCACTGGCCCGCACTTTTTATACTCTTTTAGATACGAAGCGCTAATCATTTCGTGTCCGTATATCAGTTGCAAGGATACTGGCCATGACGATTCCGAAGATGCCTATCTTTCAGGTTGCAACCGGTTATTGGACACTCACGATGGACTCTATACCTCAGAGTTTCTGCTTTATACATCCCATTCCTACCCACAAAGTCTTCACATTTGGTGGATTAATGGCATTCCTATTGTCGAAAACAAAATGTCACCCAGTATGAAGACCCCTAAAGAGGTTATGGCTGCCAAGCCGGCAGACATTGATGAGAATGGGCTCAGCATGGGAGAGGTTATCCAAATCAAGGTCACTATCCTCTTCCCTTAATCTATACCAGTCTGAAGTCGACATGGGCAACTTCTAATGGCGATGCTTGGTCTGTAGAAGCCCTTTTCTCGGCTTACTATATTTGCCTTGACTGTGGTTCTCATGTCAACTTGGGAGGCGCTCTCCAGGTAAAGCCTGCCCTCGCTCCAACAATTCAGTTTCGTGTCTAACTGTTCCATTGACGATAGTACAATGTCCTCGGGTCTCGTTAGTGGTGGCCCTGTATCACTCATCTATGGATTCCTTCGTTCGTCTCTCCTCTCCCTAACCGCACTCAATGGTTCTGATCAAATGGTAGTTGCGATTGTGGGTTCCATGGCAACAGCAGCCTCCCTAGGTGAAATGGTGTCTATGTCAGTGCTTCCTGCTTTGCACTTGAACTTATCTGACTTTGTTACATGCTAGGTATCCTACGGCTGGTGGTCAGTATCACTTCATCGCAAAGTTCGCACCCAAAAAATGGCAGAATATCCTCAGCTGGTTCGTGGGATGGATAGGTAGGCACTGTCATCACCAGGATTATACGCGACGATGCTTATCTCTTTCACATAATAGGAACCTTTGGCTGGGTATCATTCACTGCTAGTGCTCCTTATCTTGCCGCAGGCATGATACAAGGCCTTGTAGTCCTCACATGCGAGGCGTATCAGCCTCAGCGCTGGCATTTGTCTATGATATACTGGGCTCTTGTCGGTCTCTCCACCGCTCTCAATATATGGGGCAGTCGTCTTTTCTCCCTGGTAGAGACGGCGTCTCTCATCATTCACCTGGTGGGATTTCTGGTTGTCCTAATCGTTATGTGGGTTTGCGTGCCAATCAAGCATAATGCCAGCTTTGTTTTCACCACATTTTTGAATAGCACTGGGTGGCCTAGTGATGGTCTTTCCTGGTGCCTTGGCATGCTCTCCAGCTGCTATGTTCTGGCAGGTTCGTTAGCATTCACCTGTCATCCATAATGCATAATCTGACTCTCTGAGTTCAGGCTACGATGGAGCCATCCATCTTTGCGAGGAAATGGCTAACCCAGAAACCGCCGTGCCGTACTGTATGCTGGGATCGCTGGCCATCAATGACATATTGGGCTTTGTGTTTCTGCTCACTATCCTGTTCTGCATGGGGGACATGGAAAGTGCACTTCAGACTCCGACCGACTACCCAATAATTGAGATTTTCCGCAGTGTGACCAGATCATTGGCTGGAAGCTGTGCCCTAACGGCTGTTCTGATAATCGCAGCCTGGCTGGGTACCATTGCACTGCTGGCATCGACGGCTCGTATGGTACTTTCATTGGCTCGAGACAGAGGTATGAGCAGTCTCCTTATCCCTCCCTTTTCTCTTATACATCATTATTGACCCCCCTAGCTCTTCCTTTTTCCAGTTACCTTTCTCAGCTAGACTCTCGCACAGACTTGCCGAAGCGCGCAATAATTACAACTAGCTGTCTGCTCATCCTGTTTGGGTTGATCAATATCGCATCCACTACTGCCTTCAACGCCATCCTCTCACTTTCCGTTCTAGGATTACATATCTCATATCTTGTCCCTATCGTCTTCTTCCTCTGGCGCCGCCTTTCAGCACCACATAGTGTGAATTACGGACCATGGAGACTTGGCCGCGCCGGCATTGCAATCAATGTCATCGCCATCATTTATTTGCTGTTCACCAGTATCTTCATGGTGTTTCCCTCTTATCAACCTGTCACTCCGTCTAACATGAACTATGCTTCCTTGATCTTTGGGTTCGTTTGCTTGATGAGTACGGTGTTCTGGCTGGTGAGGGGCCGAAAGGAATATGACGGTCCTGTTGTTGCTGTTAATTTGTGAGGGGACCCTTTATATACAATTAGGAGCATAAGTAGAAGGGAAGAGTTTTGGAGGATACGCCATAGCATGGCAAAACACTGGTTTCGACCACAATGAAGTGGTAGCCTACATAAGAAGTGCATAGAGAACCTGATTAACATCTCGTACTACTGAAGGTCACCAAGAATGTCAACTTGGCATTTAGGGTCTTCATCGTATCTTCAACATGTGCAGAATATTCCGGCAACATTCCACTCAATCATCTATGTAGAATACTGTACCACAATTATGTTTCCCTCCTATGAACATCAATTTGTCGTTTACCCCACTCTTTCAAGAATGGTCTACGAAGCACGTTCATATTCATTTGGAAAGGGGCATGATTCCATCATATTGGGCATTGACCCTCGGAATCGATATAAGATGGAGAGCAATGAAGAGTTTATAACATGACTACATCTATAGCTCAGCAACAGCATACCCATTCTAGATACGAACATCCTCAGGAGCAGACGTCTTCTCACAGTCCTGACCCAGAGCCGTAAAAGCCTCCCAACTCTCGCGCTCAATATCCACAATCTTGCCCTCATCAAGAAACACCTCCTCCCAGCCGGCGGTCACCGTGGCCCGCTCCTGGTCCAGGATATGGTCCTCCCCAGCCACGAGACTCTGGAACTCCGGATCTGCAATTATTGCCTGCAGTGTTTCGGGATTTGGCACATACATCGAGATCGAAACGTCGTGGTCGTCGAGTTTCCAGCCGGGACGGAGAGCCCAGGGAAGTTTCTCGGTGATGAGGCTCTTGGTGATTGGTGGGGTGTATACCTAGTGAGAAATATCATGTTAGGTCAAGCGAGATAGAAACGGACAATTGGAAAACTCACGTGTGTGATCTTGTAGGCGCCGTGTCTCTCCTGGATACGGGCAGCCTTGGGTGCATGTTGTCTGGCGCCGTATTCATGGAACTCCTTCCAAGATATACCTTCTTTCTTGTAGCGAAAGGAGGTCAGTTTGATGACCAGTTGCTTCTGGGGAGCCATGTTGTGATCTGTTCTGGAAGCAGAGAGTAGAGATTTTGTAGTGGTACTCGGAGGAAGGGTAAGGCGTGAGAAATGAAGGTGAGACGATCAGTCTTGGGGATGACCCTAATTTAAGTCCATAATCATATTCTCTTACAGCAGCGTGACATACTAAGTTACTAGTAGGATATTGTATCCCTGCAACTCGACCTTCGAAAGCGATAAACCGCGCATACAAACAAAGACTGGATTGTGCTAGGACCTACATCTCTAGTTGAATTGTTGGCTCAGCCTGTACACTATGCATTCCACTAAGTATCAACTAACACACACTAACTGACAATCGATTGTTGTTCGCTTTCGCTGGTTCATTGTCCCCACAAGGTTCTTGCTTCGCCTCTCAGATCCTTGCTTAGCATTCCATACCCCGGTTACTACTAACGCTAAAGCGACTGCGCCAGTTGGATCATACACTACTGCCTGCTTCTGTTCGCCTGTCTGGTTTGTTGATATGCCACAGTGATTGGTGGTGACTGTTATGAGACTAAGTAGTAGTACGTAGTCACGTCGTCCAATGCCTACCAATACCCTAACAATCATGCCCCGCGTGTCTTTCCCTTCTCCCCATCTCCCAATTTGTCAAAGAACTGTCTTTGTAGATACTTACCTCAATCACATTGTTACATCTATCGCCTTTTCTTTTGTAAAAAATAATGAAACCCCACAAGCTGAGCCCATGCTCATCAATGAGGAACCCTTGTTGCTTTCTTGGGGTCGCCTATAAATCTGAGAAGCTCTAGGATCTATTTCTCATCTCCCGCAATTTAGGCAACGAGGAAAGCCCTAGCCACATGATGTATTATGCTAAGTATATAGTACTAACTGTTCTAGGTCTGCTGGTGTGTGGAACTTTCCCACCCATTACTTCGAGGTCCTTCACCACGGAAGCCTTGTACTGTTTGCCATGAGACAGAAACTATATATATATATACTAGTAGGGTATGTGAATGGTCCAACCAAGTGTAATCCCATTATCCCGCGCGAAGTACATCGAACTTAGCGATCGAGTGCATGAGACTTGCATCAATCACAAAAGAACTTGGCGCAAACCACTAATTATCTGGTGAAAACCGCCAAGAAGTGATTTTTGAAAGCTTCCTTGGCTCGCCCAGGGTGCACAGCTATAGGTAAAATCTGGCCAAAGACAGAGTATTGTAATATCCAGTCTATGCGTTGAATATCGCTGTCGAATTATAACTCAGGATTATACTAGTTCGTCCTATATAGAACTAGTTTCAAATTAGCAACTGAAACATACTTATACGTGCAGCTCTTTGCGTAGTAAGTCAAGACTATCTTGGGAAGGTGTTCTCCCGCCTCCTAACTAGGATATAAGGTCGTATAGTGGGCGCCTTGATCCTCCTGGTTGTATAGTTGTTCGCGCAGATTTGAAGCAGCGACAAGTTGATACTAGCAGATGGGGTACTTGTATTCTCTAATTCTGGATACACTTTTGCTTCTTCATGGAATTGAATTAAGATCGTATCTGCTTCTTCGTGCATTATGTATATGAGACGTATGTACATTGTTTCTCTCTCTTTCTCTCTCTCCCCCCTTCTATACCGAGAGGGTGTATGTTTCAGAATGCAAGTTGGATATTCTGTCCACTCCGGGCGTCTTCCAGCCAGGTGTAATGTAGTATCACTCCAGTATCCCGCTGCATAGGAGTCCGTATTGGTTTTGGTCTGAGTATCGACTGATATGCGCATCCCCTCGGTTGATTGTGTAGCTTAGTAGGTAAGGATATTGCGCATCACCGATGACGGCCCGGAAACGGATCACTGTTGGACGGTTCATCTGTACAAAACAGGACCATAATTAGTGACCGTAGAGCAAGAGTGTTAATTCAACACAGCAGCAATGATGAGAAGCGTAATACATACACGGCATCCAGCACAAAAAGTAATAAGTGGCGGAGAAGAACGACAAGATTGCAAAAGCGACATAACACGCCGCGTAGAGCATCACCACCCGTGACCTTTGTCGTCCATCCCTACTACTAATCATGCTACCACCACTAGCATTGCTCAGAATCTCCGTGTCATTGTCATTGTCATCATCGTCATCGTGATCATCGTGTCGCCTATACCCCCGGTAGGGCTGACATTTTTCAATATCGGGAGGGTTATTGTTATTATTATAATCGCTGCTGTGATGGTTGTAGTTGTACTTGTGCACCGTAGTATCTTCCGAGTGAGTGGAACTTTCTTCGCTAAGATTGCATTGGGCAAATGTCAGCTGATGGTAGTACATTAAATATTTTATACGTAGGTAGGTGGTATAGTAGTAGCATCTAATGCTATTGTGTACATTCCCGTATGCAGGGTGCGGGATGGATTGGCTACCAATCCAATCCCTGCATAGTCAGTCGGAAATGACCCAAATTCTGGGGTAATAATGTGATTGGGTTGCAATTGATAAGCGCACCAGATAGCTTTTCTTAGTGGCTAATCAGAAACAAAACAAAACGAAATAGAAAAGTAAGCTGACTGACTGACCTTGGCCTCTTCAGGGGAATTGGTATTTGGCCGTTCTGCATGCGACTCATCTCACCAGAACCACGTAAAATCGTTAGGAGTCAGTCAGCTCGGGATAAGGTTCAAGACCGGCAAATCCTTGTGATGATGATGACTGGAGCTGAGCTGAGGGAAAGGGGACAACATTTCGGAGCTGGAAATATTAACCATAATAATTATTCTGGATTTCATTGCGCAAGCCTATTATTTACCCTTAGCCTCCCCCTGTAAATCCGTAGCGATGCGGGCGTTTCAGTCTAGGCTCGTTAGTGAATTGGTTAGTGAGTTTGTCTAGTCGGGCAGTTGAGGGCGGTGATGAGTCAGCTGTGCATTGAGGGAGCATAAAATGGATCTTATGCTTCAGGGGTCAGGAGATGGGATCATGATGATGTTGATGTTGAATGATGGGTGGTGTGGTTCAGTTGGTCAGTGAGTGGACGGGACGGAGATTTCTTCATTGCTATTTACGGATTTGGATCATCCCAGAAGGCTGAAGAACTTATTGGTAACTGCTACTACTCATTTTAGCCGATGTAACAACTTGGCCAGCAGAAAGCGCTCAGATGTCGTGCAATCCCCTGGCCAGAGTGTGTGTGTGCCACGAGTGTCAAAACCAATCAACCTACATGCTGCTACATTCCATGTGTTGGTTGAACCCCTTTCATGCTGAGAAACTGTCTAATTCTCCGGGCGACAGCTCGGTTGAAACCTTATGGCTGTTTGGCTCACTGCTTAACCATGGTTGAACCACGGAGCAAGCAACACACCTGATGTGTGTCACTCAACAGGGGTTCTTACTGTAGAGTGCTGAAAACGGCGACTGCCCTACATCCCTAGCTAGGTAGGGATCAAACTCAGTACTTTGACAATGTATGGAAAGGGAAAGAGCCATGCAGGGATGAGTAGCCATTCCAAGATTGCAAGTCAAAGGCAAAAGCCAAAAAAGGAAAAAAAAAGCACCCATTTTTACGATACCCGGACTGAATCCGCCGGTACGGATCACGGAAGTGATTTGAGGTATTACCAATGAGAAATCGCAGTAATTCGTAATAAGACTCCATTTACCGAGTCCCCAACAGGCAATTAGCAGCAACGGCAAGGTCCACTGCGGTGGTACCTGCAGATACCGTGCTCGAATAAGGTACTGATAGTCGAATGGAACCTGGTGGCTTCCTTGACTCTTCGGGAGGGCACCTTGACTTGACAGCTTGACGGACAGCTTTGGCCAATAACCACAAGGCGGACGCTTCACCAGGTTGCCTCAACACGGGTCACAATTGGAAGTTATCCACTTGGCCAAACGGCTAATTCTCGCCCGAGGTTCGGGATTGCGAGATACTTCCTGTATTGTCCCTCGCCAAGATGTGCGTATGTGTGGGAGAGAGAATAGAAGCCCAAGCAACGTTACGCGGTCCTGAATAGAAGCCACAATGCGCAAAGTAGGCTTAAGTTTCGTACTAGTCAACTTTGTGCTCTCTAGCAAAGTTGCCAAGCTGGAGTGTATGCACCGCATTAGTATCACCATTCTCTCCCCCCGGCATGTGACATGTCTGCCCAGAATCAAGTTCGCTTGAAAGTACTGTCCCCTAGTACAGCCTAGCCGCAAGCAAGATGGGCCGCAATTAAACAGTATTCGGATGAGGAACGACAATCATCATTATTGGGTGCTTATGGGAGTTCCCGATTGGCGCTGAATGAAGATCGCCCAGCCAAGCATGAAAGGACACTCGGGAGTGCAACAGGGACTTCAATTACTTTTGACTGGATCGTCCATTAATCAGCGCCGAAGTGGTTATTTTCGGAAGGAGCTCTTCCCTGTTAGGATCCAAAGCCGGCCGTTAGAACTTAGAAATTTAGAAAGAGGAGAAAAAGCGGCAAGACCCCGGCCTGCATTTCCCCCGGAATAGAAACCACGCGGTATTCCGGCGTCAACCCTGACGAGACCGCAGAGGCATTGGCCAATGGAAATGGGTGGTCGGAGCTATGGAAGATACTGCCCAAGTAATAAGGTAAGTATCTTGTAACCTGCGGATGCGTTGCCGTTACGGAGTATCCATTTTTACGGAGCGCTTTCCATGCGGTTTTCAGGAACCCCATCCAGCCGGAGTGGAGTGGAGTAATATATACGAATTTACGAACGGTAAGAGAGGCCAGAAGGGTAGGGTCGGAGGAGTGGGAAGAAAAAAAGGGGGTTCGAACTGCAGAAGGATTGTTATGGGCAAAGGCTTGTTTGGTGTTTGCCCGTGGCTGCCCATTCACTAGAAATGCTTCAAGTAAATTTAGGGCCTGAAGGATGGATGCAACATTCGACTATTGCATCTCACAAAAGTTGGCTATCTCAGGGCGGGTCAGATAGACACCAAACTCTGGACACTGACAGTACTTTCTGGCTGGCAGGCAACTAACTGCCTCCGTCAATAAGTTAGCCCTGGTCTATGCGCAAAAGGCTTTTTTTTCCTCTTTCTGTCCTTCTTTTTCTGGCCATGCAAGGGGGTCGCAGTGCACCGTGACCAAGTCAATGGCATGGAAGGAGTTCAATGCGTCCTGTCAGGACTCCGCTTTCGCTGTGGGGTCGATGGGAACTCGAAACTGGTGAAACAAACTAAGAATCCCACAGAGGACGAGGGGTGAAGCACGTGGTTGGAGCGCGCAGCCGGTCGTATTTACGTCGTATCGTATCAGGACAGTATGTATCGTTACTCTTCCTGTGTATTACACAGCGATGGTATCATCTGCTTTTTGTCTGTTGTGGTTAAGCCTGAAGACAACACTCCGGAGTATCTTCCACCAGATAACATCGTTCATTATCGGGCTCATTCGATGGAAATAGAACGGATGTGGATGGCCATCCTTGCTGTAGATCTCTGCTAAAAGCAAAGACTCCAAGAGACCGCCAGAGCCTAGACCGCAATTGGCGATGGGCTAAGGTTTGTTTGCCATTGTCTATTATCAATAATATTTTTGAAAGGGTACTTCAACCAGCCTAAAGGCTCTCTCTGGCCCTAAATGAGGCTGCTTATTGCCCGAACCATGGTACTCATCCCGCGAACCATCCCGCGGGAAGCCTGTCTTGCTCGTACCGAGTAAGATCTAACGACGAAGGCATGACCTTGAAACCCACAGTGATGGGCCCAGGATAACCCAGGGACACTCGTGGAACATAATCAAAGCACGAGAATGTGCATGCCCCTATTCGCATGTCAGGTGCACAACGATCAAAGTGAATACGTACAGCTTCGTTTCATCTGTTCGGGGTTCGGAGGAAATCCAAATGCAGAAGGATTTTCGAGTTCCACTCCGACATACTTCTCGAAGGAGATAAGGAATGCGACGCGGGAGGAGCTGCATTGAGATTGGAGGGACACTGTTACAAGGTGCATTTTTGCATCCGCCTTTTCGCCTTTCATCGAGGGAAGGTATGCAGGCTTCTCCTGCATTTGAGGACGAATCTTGGATAGCGCCGATGACCAGCATATGATAGATCTCATAAGGAAAATCGAAAAAGCAAACACCCACGCATGGATGCGTCTGCTAGACTAGACTTGCTCGCCACTCCCGCTTCACCTGTTCGCTTGGAAGGTGTTTTCCTGTGGCTAAGGCTAAGCGCCCATCTTACCTCCACTGATTGACGCTGACGGACTGCTGATTAAAGCTACCCCTGCCTTAGTGGCCCGACGGCGTGTTGGCCGGCGGGCAAGACGACTCCGGAAACCCGGAAAAGGCGAAAGTGTTCTCCACATTCCCATTTCCCAAGAAGAAAAGAAAACAGTATTATTGCTGTGCGAGCATCTTTCCACGGCGATTTCTGGCCCTCGAACTCGGGTGGTCAATGAACGATACGATCTCCGAATCATGACAGATCATGATATCGTAAATAAAGTTTCACATGGCATGGTTTTACCCCTACTTAAGTAGGTTTCGCATTGATCCGACAGTGATGAGATCATGCGAGATCTGGATGATGACTATAGAACAACAGAAGCAATCATGCAACTATCGCTCAATAATTCGACATCCATCGCAGAAGCATGCTTTTTTCAATACTTGGAAGAAGATCGCGGTGCTGTGGAGCCAAGTGTCTGCTAGAACTCAGCCGCAGGCTCTTGACAACCAAACCAACGGAAGATACCGAAATTGTCGCTGGCGAATTTGGAAAGAAGCCACTTGCGTAGATAAGGTTCTACGGTAAGCTTAGGCAGGTTCGAATGCTCAGCCCTCTGTTTCCCTTTGTTTGTGATGGATCGCAAAGAATGGCGATGATCTATGAGAACCCGAGGCACTAGTTCAACTCAATTTCCCGACTCCTTCCTGGTCCAAGAGCGATGTACATTCAGTGTCCTCTATAGACCGACGGATAAAAGACCCGGAAGCTCGAACATCGATAACGCTGTCAATAGTTCCTCTACCCTTTGGTCTAACAAATAATAGTAGTCAGCTCGATCAAGGTGGGCTTGCAGGCTTCATTCGGACTTCGTACAAAGTACTTCCTTCGTACCAAAACACTGTCCATAGACGCAGATGCTACTCGTCGATCGGTGCATACCAATGCATCCGATTCGCGCCTCGTGGCGTCGTCGTTCGCTTGCATGGCTTGGCAGCCGCAGGAGGGCACCGGTGGGAACATGACTCGGGGTCTCATTCGCCCCCGGAGTCGGAGACATCACAAGGATGCATCCATAGCCCAGGAGTAAGTCGTTGGCCATCAATGGTACGAGGTAACTGATGCTGACGTCCAGCGACCGTGGGATTGGGGGCTAAACTGAGTTCCCAATGCCTACGATCCTTGCGGTTAAAAGTTTATTGAGTTCATATAGATTCATATACCCAGATTAAAGGATCGCGGTCGGAATCATATTGATGGGTAAGGTAATATGGCACGTGGATGATGGCGACGTGAGAAGGCATTACTACTAGTACTCTGATAGTGGGAGTAATGCTGCATTTTTGAGAAAAGTCCATCTCAAATCCAGATTGATTGAGAATTAATTTCACGAAGACCCATAGAGGAAGGATCTATGGTCAATCCATTGTCAATGGGCCCGCGGGTCATCGGCGAGGCCGGAACTTGACTCGAACAAGTACGTACCTACTGGCTATCTATCTGCTGGATATCCCGAATAATCAATCGTCAACTGCTGGATGTTTCCCCAGCCGGACAGTGTGTTGCTGCAGAGAATGATTGAGGATACGGAGAGCTCCGTACTAAACCACGTATATACCGGGTACTAATATCGTTTTGGTATTATAACGCGTTGTGCCACCCATAACTCGCAAGATTATTACTTACTGACTAGTAGCTTACGGGCGGTAAGAAGCATTGGGACCTTAATGCACTCCATTTCCAATCGGCTCGAACCAGGCTAAGAGCGGACGAAGAATGAATGGAGCCATTCATCCACAGTTGAATGGAGTTCCGGGGTGGGTCAGCATTGTTCGTCTACAACCAGTGAGGTCAGGGCCAGGCCGTCTACTTTGTACAAGGAGCTCGCAGCCGGGATGCTATCACGGAACTAAACGACACTAAGAAGCCAAGGGCTTACGGCTAAGGCCCTTAGGGGACGGTAGCCACAGCGGACTAGTCCCTTTCTAGATTCCCAGAACGAGGCCCAATGCGACGCCGGAAATCTTTCACACGGTTTTCACAGGTAATACAGGCCCCGGTGTCAGGGCCACTCACAGCCGAAGGTCCCCAGAAGGATGACTACGCCGAAGGGGAACTAAGCCGGACTAAACTTACTAGCAGCTCAACTCTGCTGGCACCGTGGCCCACTTCGATCGGACTTGATGGATTATCGAACGAATTGCGCGACGACTCCGCGACCAACATTCCCACCACTTACTCCTCCTCCTTCCCTCTGCTCACTGCTAAACTAACCAAACTACTACTATTATTATTACTACTACTATAGACCTGCGAGTCTCCCAGACTGTCCTTCTCTCTCTCTCCTCTCTCTCTCGCTCCCTCTTTCTTTTTCTCTTCCTCTCTCTCTATCTCTTGTTTCTCGCCCTGGTCTTCCGCTCTTTTGCTTGCTTCGGTTGCGATACGGCGGAGATGTACTAATCTCCCTCCCCCATTCCTACCTCCCTCCCATCTTTCCCCTCACCTGAGCGTCTGCGGTCAGCATCTTCGCCCACCACCCACGAAAAGGGGAACGCCTCGAGGCTGCAGTCAGCATACCTAGCGAACTCTTCCCCAGCATTTAATTTGGAAGACATCCTCCCCGTGCATCAGCACTTCAATCTCGAAAGTCGTGCCAGCTTCCCGAAAGTCTCTCACTTCCGCGATCGACTCCGTCTCACTCAACACCTGTCTAAACCACCACCCAACCTAGCCTGTCGAGGGACCTTCGTCGTCACATTCCTTAATTCGATCCCATATCTCGCAGATTTCAGAAAGCTCCGGACAGCTGCGCTGCTCGCCAATCAACTTGGATATTGTTCTCATACAAAGCGGGGGACAATTTGCGACAGTTGGATTGGAACACACCTTCGGCTTCCATCCCACCAGGACATCTTGCTTTGGAGTAGGGAATACCGCGACGTACGTACAGTGACCGAGTAACGTTCAACTTGACGTTATTTGAGCTAGCGACATGTTCTAATTTTGCGCCATTCGGGCGGGTTTAGTCAAAGATACATTGGCTTGGTTCTAGTGCTTGGTATTATATTCTGCCTTAAGTAAGTTTCGCTGATTTACTTTCTCGCTTCTTTCTCATTGCTCGAGACCTCGGGTCTCTCTGGTTGACGTTTCACACATGTCTCAAAGAGAGCCTTCCGTGTGGTTAACTGCGGGGTCTGGGCGTATCCCTGATTCAGCCATACTCTACTTGTGCTGCGTCTATTCTTGGTCACTTCGCACACTATAATCAACAAGTACTAACTCACTTCCAGACACCATCGAAAGTCACTTTGTGAGAGCACATCAATATTCAAAATGGGTTGCATGAGTTCAAAACCCGTCGACACGGCGGATAAAGACGCTGTTCAACGAAGCGCTAGGATAGAAAAGGTTCTGAAAAATGACAAGAAAGTAATGGACCGAACAATCAAGATTCTCCTCCTTGGTAAGTTCCCAAAACACGTCCAATTCGCAGTCATGGAGACGAGGAGTACTGATGCATTTTATTTTTATGTAGGTGCTGGTGAATCGGGCAAGTCTACAATCATCAAACAAATGCGAATTATACATTCCGGCGGCTTCCCCGAGGATGAACGACGCCAAACACGAGCTGTGATCTACTCGAATCTTGTTATCGCCTTCAAAGTTCTACTGGATATCATGCGCGCCGAAAACATTGATTTCCAGCTTGAAAAGACACAGGTAACTTCATCTGCTCGGTTGTCTGGCGATTTTCCATCGCAAGCGGAGATCCGTTTGTGGCAGTATGTGTGCTAATTCACTTCGTCATTGATCAGCCGTTAGCCGAATATGTTGACAAGCTTGAGCCAGACGTCGGTTCAGACGAGGCATTCTCAGATCTCAAGGTTCGCGACGCTCTCAGAGAGATGTGGGACGATACAGGTGTTCAAAAAGCTGTTGCTCGAGGCCACGAGTTTGCTCTTCATGATAACTTGCATTAGTGAGTCCTAGGAACCTTCTTTTTGAACAAACAGGCAAGCCGTCTAACCTTTCAGCTTTTTTGATTCGCTTGATCGAATATTCACTCCTGGGTGGCTTCCCGACAACCAGGACATGTTGCAGGCTCGTTTGCGGACAACCGGAATTACTGAAACTCTCTTTGAACTCGGTCAAATGAACTTCCGAATGATGGACGTCGGTGGACAGCGATCCGAGCGAAAGAAGTGGATTCACTGTTTCGAGGGTGTTCAATGCCTTCTATTCATGGTTGCCCTATCTGGTTACGACCAATGTCTCGTCGAGGACCAGAATGCCGTACGTTTTCCCCTATCGCCTCCTTGAAGTACTTGAACTAACCGTTGTTCCCCATCGTGCAGAACCAAATGCATGAAGCAATGATGCTGTTCGAGTCCTTGGTCAATGGCGAATGGTTCAAGCGCAAACCGATCATCTTGTTCCTGAACAAAATCGATCTGTTCAAGGGAAAGCTTCATGTTTCGCCTGTCTCCAACCATTTCCCTGACTACAATGGCTCCAACACGGACTTCGATGCAGCAGCCAGATACTTTGCAGACCGATTCCGGGGCATCAACCGGATTCCCGACCGAGAAATCTATATCCATTACACGAATGCTACCGATACGACGTTGTTGAAGGCAACAATGGATTCGGTGCAAGACATGATTATTCAAAAGAATCTCCACACCCTCATACTATAAGGCTGTGAGACTTGGAACGATTTGAACTTTTACGAGCGAGTACGAGGCGTCAGCGATGCTCAACTTCCATTCTTCCCCTGCACACGCCAAGCGGTAAAAGCACGCTTGCTTTCCTTCAACTATTTTTATTCACTTCACTATATCCCTTCTCTTCCTGTACGTTTCTTTCTCCTTGTGGACTTCTTGTCTCGGCTTTTCATTCCTTTCAAAAGCTTATATGTTTTCTCCGGTTCAGCGACGGGTGCATTTCTTATATAATGCAGATTGATACCATATACCATATGTTGTTTGCGTCCATGTCTGCGCTTTTCATCCCACCTAACGAGCTCTTTTTCCATTCTCCTGAGCTGAACCTTTGTTTGACCTTGACGCCTCCCATGTATCTTTCCTTTTCTTCTTCTCAGTTGACATAATGAGCGCCCACCCACCCTATCATTTGCTCGTGTCACTTCTGGCAGCTCTAACTGGGAGCTGTATCTTCTGTATCCGATCATTCAGACTCTGCAAAGTATAGCTGCCCTTATTGTAATTGTTCGGCTCAAGTGAGCATGGAACGAACAGATACCCAAATCGAATTCATATAGTGTCATAGTTCCTGCAATGTAGTACGTATCACCAAACAATCGGTAGACTCGCTGGTAGTATCCAATTCTATCAGCGACAATAGGTAGTTCTGCATGATGATCTTCACCGTTCATGAGTTGGCATGTGGATAAAGTCAGGCGAGGATACTGCCATTCCAGGTCACCTGATCGGGTCTCGTGCCTGAGGCGATAGGCAACTTACATAATCGCCGAGTTCCGCATGATCGGCTCCAACTTCGATTTCGCCTCTTCATTCCCGACAACATCGTCACCCAGCTTCTGGGCTTTACGACGTCGGAAAATGCTGTCGTCCTCACTGCGCCGGGCTGCATGGGCTCCAATGGGGCCCATCGCCGGCATGTCTCGCGCAACCAGCCAAAGTATTACTACCTCCGCGAACGGCCTCATCGGCTCGTCACAACATGTGCGTCAACGCCGATACTCCTCTTCGTCCTCGAAACCCAGCGATGGATCTAATAAAGTCGATTCTTCCTCTCAGACGCCTGCGAAGGGAGTGAATTCTGCAGAGAAACGTGAGGGGAAGGCTTCCAGACGGAGGGGCAAGGATAGCAACGGCCGCAATGGCTCCAAGCAGCCGACGGCTTTTTCCCGACTTCCCAGTGTTCCCTCTACCCAACACCTCCAGCCGCATGGTTAGTTGCCACAATCCCTATCCACCGTTCTTGTACCTCTAGATTATGATGCGCTAATCTTTCTTCTTGCGGTCTAGACGTTCACGTCGCCTCCTTCTTTTCCATCCACCGACCCATCTCCGTTTCCACCACCGTTCCTCCGACCTCGACCCCCGAAGCCTTCGACGCCATCTTCACCGCAAAGAAGCCGGCTAAGCCTGAGGTGGACGATGTCATCTTCACCCTCTCCTCCGCCGTCAACTCCATGGAGAACTCCGCTGCCCACTCCGGCGAGCAGGAGGGCTCTCTGCAGTACTTCGACATGGAAGGCAACCAGCTGGATGGCATGAACCTTTCCGATCTGAAAGTCTCCGTCGAGGAACTCACCAAGCGTCTCCGTCCCTTCCACCCCCCTCCGCCGCCCGTTCCCTTCGACGAAGCGAAGAACATGGCTTCCTCCGAGTTCGAGGACGTCCCCCGGGAGACCTCGAGCTACTCCACCGTCCTGACCATCCACGAGTCGATACACTCGGATGGTCGCAAGACCTACGAGGCTCACACTGGTCCCTTCGTGCCCTCCGGTGAGATGGAAGCTCCCGGTGCCATTGGAGAGAGTGAGGCCATCATTGATGTCCCCCACAACTCCGGCACCACCTACATGGAGCGTATCCGCAACAACCGCACCATGCACGCCATTAGCACCAAGAGACGTCGCAGACTGAAGATGAAGAAGCACAAGCTGAAGAAGCTGCGCAAGAGGACAAGGACCCTGAGACGGAAGCTTGAGAAGGCTTGATTGACTTCATTCAATCATCAGAGATCATTACCATTTGCTTGCAGCTATAATTTTCTTTTCACTACGCTACAATCCGAATAAACCTTCCTCTTGTTATCCATCTTCCTCTTTTATCTATTTACATACTTACAACTTTACCTCCCTCCAATGCCTCTGCTTCACAGAGAAGTCATCCCTAGACTTACGCATCTGAAGCTTTTCTTTTATTGCTTTGCTCTCCGCATGTATGTGTGTGTTTGGCGGCGGCTACTGATATGCCTGCCTATATCGCATATATCCTTACGGCGTCGTCTTGTTTCTTTTTTCGCCTCTTTTCTCTTGAACATTTGGATGTCCACCGCATTTTATTCCGCTCAATAGACAGTACTTTGTATGTTACATATTGCTATCTTATCTGTCTGCCCTGCTTGCTCTTGGGCAGGTCAGGTACAATGGTATCTATATTGCTTGAGTTTGGTTCCTTGGAGAAAGGCGCAAGTCTTGTTTCAGTGTCTTCTGACTTGTAACAGCGTACGGGGTCGTAAACACTTATATGTTTAGTAATCGCACATTCGCCACTTGTTGCATTCATGATATACCGAAGGAACAGAATAGATAAAAGCTAAGTTTGTAACATAGGACCATAAACTAGCAGGAGAAAACATATAAGCATTGCAAAGCAAGTAATCCTATGATCCAGCTCAAGGATACAAAAGAGTAAAGCGACACCCATAAAGTACAAAATCTCAAAGGCCTTAAAAAAAACAATGCAATGTATCTACCACAGCTTCCCACCCTGTCCTAGTCTACAAACTTAGCTAGCACATCCAATTATGTCTTGTCCTTTGTTATTTCGGGGAGTGTTGGATGAAAGAGAAAGCATATGTTTATTCAACGTCCGTTTTCTCTTTCCATTCCCCTAGTAATCCACTCCCTCCACATCCCCTCCAGCTGTCATCGGGACAATGACGGGAACCGTCATTGTCGGCAAATAAAGTCTGAAAACATAAGTCAAAATAACCGCATCACGTTAACACATGTTGAGCAACCCGGGCTCTTTTCGTCGTATCCGAGGATAGTGGGTGAGTGGCATCCTCGGGCGGGTGTTCACTTGGGCCATTTCGCGCGGAACGAAGGAGGGTTCGTTTAGCAGGTGGCATCAATCCTCGAACGGGAGTTCATCAGAAGAGCAACGATAAGACCGTACAGACCTGTGAGGCGTCGTGGTTAGATGATGCGAACTGGTTGTTTCGCTTTGATGTAGTGACTCACCCAAGACTTCAGCGAAAATGAGAATCAAAATCATTCCGACATAGAGACGGGGCTGTTGAGCAGTTCCACGAACACCTGCGTCACCAACGATACCAATGGCAAAACTAGAGATACTCTGTTAGTCCAAAGCTACCGATATTGAAAGGTGCCATGGTGAGAAGCTTACCCAGCTGCCATACCAGCCAAACCGACGGCGAGACCTGCTCCCAGCTGAATGAAACCAGTGTACAAGGGGACCTTCTGTCCCAAGTCGTTTGCAATCAGGACCGACACGACCAGACCGTAGATACCGATGATACCCGCCATGACAATGGGGACAATGTCTGTATCACGAGATTAGTATTATATCATCAGATATTGTATGCGATAGCTTATGCCAGAGTTATAAGAGCTCTGTGAAGCTTCCACGTACTCTTGACGATCAGGTCAGGTCTGAGGACGGCCATTCCACAGACACCGACACCAGCCTTGGCAGTTCCATAGGCAGCTCCGAAGCAGGTGAAGACGATGGCTGAGGTGCAGCCAAGGGCACCGAAGAAGGGCTATACGAATAGGAGATCAGTTATCTGTGCGAGAGGTGCCAGTTCGATGGCGGATTCTCCGCTTGATGCAACGAAGCCAAGCTACCTTGAGGATCGCTTGGAGCTCGATGGTGTCATCGGCGAGGGTGGGATCACAAGTGACTTACTGCGTAAACGGGGCTATCATGTCCACATGTCAGTATATCAAGTCGAAACTCATCCGAAGCATGATTGAAATCGAGATACAAGAAGGCACAATGGTCGGAATGCTGGGAAAAGGAGTAGGTGAGGTGATTACGTACCAAAGTTCGGTGGCCATCTTGACAGATTAGGCGACCTTGCGGGCTATAGAAGATGGAGTGAAACTATGAAAACAGCCGAAAGGAAGAGTGACAGGGCAGGGACAGGCCGCGTGTAAAGCGATGTGGTGATGTTGAGGCTTGGGGAAGCGAAACGGAGATGGAGGCGTGAAGGCGAACACGCTGGAGGCTTCGGGGAGGCTGACCGACCACCTGCGTCATCACGTGATGGCGGCTTGGCGCTGTCCCGTCGGCCGCGCATCACGATAACCAGCTTCCCCACCCAGTCAGTGTGATGAAGCAGCAGTCGTGAACCAGATACAGCTTGATGTAAATATATAACATTTACTATCTACATTGGACACTATGAGCATTTCTCTCTTTGTGTATTGAGAGCCATCGCACTTAGCATTGTGTTTTGAGGACATCGGAGGTCTCCGCTCGAGTGATAACTGGATTACGAATCACCGTCTGATGGTCCTGATAGAAGAATAACTTCATGAAGAGGGCGACTGGATACACAATATCTAGAGATGTAAATCACGAAAGCTTACAATTAATTAGAGTGGCTTATACGGCAGGTGCGCAATACCCAAGTTGGCAGGAAGCATCAAGATAACGAGACAGTGATGGGGAAGTGCGGAGACTGCGGGAGTAGCTGCCAAGCCGTGATATTTTGGATCATAAACGGAGACCCCTACCTCCAACATTGTACTTCTCAATCCTTTAGTCGCCCATATGGCATCAGCTATCCATTGCAGTACTACTAGTGTCTCTGGCTCATTACAGATAGGGTCAGTCTTTGGTGATAATATTCTTGAATTATATTCATAAGGTTACTTACGTACTACTATCTGTTTCACAGATAGACATAACAGATAGCTAGATCTAGACTATGGATACTCATATCAATCGAGCTAACATCTTCTACCTATCTTTGTAATAGGTGTTAGCTTATAAAATTGGAGTATCTATGTGTATTGAATTTGACATCTTCATACATAGGATCTTCCCAGTCATTTTTGGTCATTTTTTAATATCCACTAACTCATCATACCTATTTTACTTGAAGGGGATTACAGTATCAGGGTGCCCTCTGTCAATATGATGCCAAGAGTCAAAACAGCAATCTATCACAAACAGCCACAGACGCAGTAGGAATATCGTAGGCTCATCATGCGCAATGTTTCATGATTTTCATACACTTGCTTGCAACGCAGTTATATTCATGTGTGAGGGAGACGGTATTTTGTCACTCAGCTGCATCGTATCTGACAGGGGTTTGGTACCATGGGCTGAAGAGTCTAATGATATGGCTTATAGTGCCCCTGTAAAGAGTAATCAATTGACCAACAGAGCATACAGTGGGTTTGATGTACTTCAATTTAGTATGGTCCTAATACTATCCATGATAGTACTAGGCTACATACCTTATATTGACTGTGCACACAATAAAACTAGGCAGACGTTGAATCTGCAGGTGCCAGGAAAGTGTTACTGCGCCTTGCGGGTCACTTGGCCATCTAAATATATCTCTGGCGAGATGCTTCTGCAAGATAGGGCTGATCATAAGCTTTGAATTGTATAGCCTGGAGAGACCCACCATCATAGCCAGGCAGTGTTTTTATTAAACTGCTGGCTGAAATATGCGGGGTGGCCAGGATGTTCTGTTCTAGAATATAGCAACGACTCAGTGTGGCTTGGACTGCGGCGATGCCAATCACATGACACTGCGTCGTCTCAACAGGCAAATTGATCTGTTCTTCTTACTGTATTAGTCAGGTTTTTTTTCCCTCTCGCTGGGCATGGCATAGTGGGATGTCTCCGTCATGATCAGCAGGATCCTCGTAGACATTATACAATATGAGCGTACGTTCTGTCAAAATCATGATGGTAGAAAGATTGATTCGCAATGATGTATTCGCGACATGCGAACGATAAGACATCTCACTATCGAGCACATGACGTCTAAAATCCGGCTGAAACGTGCTTTAATCCAGTGATTATCTGCATAGTTAGCGTAGGCGCTGACGGATAGATGCGTGTCAAATGATATCACTTTGTTTTTTCCCTGGAAATAAGTCTACGCTAGTCTAAATCCTACAAAGTCGAGTACCGTAATGGGGACGCGGCATCTGTCCGAACATTGTTGAAAGCTAGCCGGCACCGTGATTCGTGCAAGACGAACCATAGGGCTGGATGGCCCACCAAATCCATGCTGCTTTCCGTCCCCCAAACCCTCCTAGACACGGAGTCATACTCCTACTTCGAACAAGGGATTGCGTAGGGGCCCAGATCTAGTCCGATAGAAGCAGTAGGTATGAAATATGATGTGCTGGTACGTCCCACACAGAACCAAGAGCCCAGACTTTTAGAACCATCTGCACAGAGCGATTTAGTCAATATTGGCGGCGTCTAAGTTAGACTACTGGCGCCTCGTCTCAGCCTGGTAAGGTGGTACGGTGGAAGCGCCAAGCCCCTGCCAGGCAACAGAATAATTATGACAAAGGAAGGAAGAAAAAAAAAAGTAGAAAGTCAAAAAAAAAGGTAGGAGATGGGAGGAAAGGGGAGAAGAAGAGAGCGAAAGTTCTCCCCTTACCGTTGAACAAATCCAGTTGCACCGCCCGATGACAACATGGTTCAGTTCCAGAATTGGAGGAGCATCAGCCACGGGACTGGGGGAGGTACAGAACTGAATACAAAACGTCGATACGACGCAAAAGTCACCCGCCGAGAAGTCTGGTCGTGGTGAGCTCGGAGCCAATCAGCAAGCAGCCAAGGCATCAGCCACAGTTCGTACTGAAAAGTATGACGTAGCAGTAGACATGCACGGCGAGCGGAAAAGGATCGTCCTGACTATCGTTGTCGTCCGCCCCGGTTATTATAATTATCGCTAGCAGCTATTGGTCTTTTATTTTATTACCTAAAGGCGTATCCGTTGAATAATGCGGATTCGAGGACTGTGCTTTACGTAGGAGGCATAGCACTATCCCCCCGTAGCGTTTGGCGGAGGGCAGCTACTTAATTTTGCCGCCCATCATTTAAAGAGTCCCTGTGGTCCCGCTCCCTTCCTCTCCTGATTTTTCTTGTTACTCTCCATCATTCATCTACTTGCACTCAGATACCGCTTCTATCTGGTCATATCCATCACCTGCTCACTACTACTCTCTCCTGCATCAACCTTGCCGACTTGAAGAGATCTACGTCTTCCTCCATTCACAATGCCTTTCACTGCCTCGTAAGTTTTGCAACTCCTCGCGACGTCATCTTTTGGCGATTTCTTATCCAAACGCGCGCATAACTTGACCTTGACAAGCTGAAGCTGTCTTGGGATAGCTTGCGATCGCAATTATTCGAATGACGAGAGCTTAGTGTTTTGAGTGTGCTAACGTCCTTGGGATCATAGGGATATTTGCAAGATCATCTTTGCGATCATCTTGCCCCCGCTGGGTGTCTTCCTCGAGCGAGGATGCGGTGCTGATTTCCTGATCAACATCTGTTTGACAATCCTGGGTTGGCTTCCTGGTGTCATTCATGCCTTGTACGTGGTCCGCCAAGTGATGGTTTTCCGAAGATTCCGAGACTAACTCCTTTCGTTCAGCTATATTATATTCAAATACTAGAACGCTCCTCAGGCCCCTCCTTACCACCCACTTCGGTTCAAAACCTGTCGATTTTGGGGAATAACCTCGTCCTACCTACGATTTTTCTCCTACGGAATCGGATGTTCAAAATCCAGCGGGTCGGAGTGACGTTGTCAACATCTTAGTATTGTTCCGCGGGCTCCCGACGAGTCTAGCCTAATGCAACCCCGCCAACATAAACACCGTCATTGGGCGGATGTGCAGCATGCTCAGTGCGACGTGTGTTTGTGACGGGGTCTCGATTGTACCTTTTTTTATTCCCTTGTTTCTTATCTCCTTGGGTTGTTATTTTCTTATGTATTGCGCATGATACCAGCTCACTGTGTCACTGGGCTTTGCTTTTGTCATTTTCTCTTAGTTGGCAGTGATCAGATTAATGATTGATGACAATGTCAAACTTATTAATCAACCACATTCTGGGCTCGAATCGTAGCTGCTTATGCCATAAGCAGCCTGTAATCTGCCGAGTGGGTATGGGGAAACACGAGTGCCGATCGGGCCATTCATCAAGTCCCGTGATGCGTCTGTTTACTAGCCGCCGTTTCACCTTCAGCCCAGTGTCCACACGTCTGACTGGGTCTACACCATCTCAGTTGTGCCTGGTTGCTCTCAGGGTCTTCAGATCGACAACAACCTGAAGGCGCGCGGTTAAGGAGACTGACCCAATTCGATTGTTTGCGCCTTGAACCTCTCGGATCAACTCAATCTGACATCATGTGCTGTTCTTATCGGCAGAGTCGGCGCCAACACGGCGCGTATTTCAACGCCATCGTCCACCCAAAATCCAATCATGCAAAGCGACAGGCTTCCTGAAGAACTGCTTCCATCAGCTACGTGTATTCTGTTTGGGACAGGGTTGCCATGTTTCACCCTGGCGCGTATAGGAGGCTTGGACTCCTGATTTGGGTCTCGAACCTTGATTCTCTCTCTTCGCAGCCACTCAGCGCCATGGCAAAACGTGGTTTGACGCCCATGTTGGCAGTATGCGGTACATCGTGCTGGTCCCTGAAGTCCCTCCTTCCCCCCTTCTCGCAGCCGCTGTTGTCTTGAAGTTGGTGCTTCTCCATGCTGTTGGGAAATCATCACTTTTCCAGATCTCAGTATTCTTTGCGCTCTGTCTTTCATGGTCATCTTAGGATGATATTCTACGGTTATCAATGACTCCAGGGGTTGGAATTCCTCTGTAGCGTCACTTTTTATGTGCATAGGTAGTTTATTGACCCTGTGGCCTCCCGTTCGCGACTCCTTGGCTTGCATTATACCCGGCGGCGACAGTCTGCTAACCGAGAACGAAGATGCTTTCACAAGATGTTTTTACCAGCTGGACGGTCATTCACGATAATACTGTTGACGCTGACATGCCTCGCCTATGGTTCCCAGACTACTCATCCTACCGCATCAGCAACATCTTTGTCCAGTCTGATTCCAAGCTGTGCGGCAGACTGCGTGGAACAATTCATATCCTCTGATTACCCAAAAGACGCATGCTCGGAGGCGGATCTCGACTGTCTTTGTCGGACGAATACCACAAGCGGCTATACACTTGGGGAAGCGGCATTTCGCTGTAGCCTATCCTTATGTTCTATGAAAACAGTCTTCAGCTCCGACTTGTACGACATTTGCGACTCGGTACCTGGAGCTTTGCCACGGACACATGCTACGATCACCGCGACAGTAATGCCAACGGGATCAAGCCCCACGCAAAAGACTGCAACAACGACGACAGCATCGGTGCCATCTACCTCCAGCTCCAGCTCGGCCTCAGACACTGGTTCGGGCTCTAGCTCTAGTACGTTCTCACAACCGACAAGTTTTAGTACTGAACATACATCGGTAACTACTGAGACTTTCCGAAGTCCGTTGACGGTTTCTACTTCGCAACTTCCCTCCACGACAACGAGTAGCGCTACCAGTAGTGGCCAGTCGGCATCTGCGAGCGCATCTGACAGCAGGCTGGAACCTGCTGCTGTGATTGGAGTTTCGGTTGCTTCTGGAATATCTGGATTCTTCATTGTTGGTGTCATTATATTCTTCTGTTGTAGAAAGGTAAGGCGTCGGAAACAGGATGAAAAGGACCACTTTTTCGAAATCGGAGGAGTCATGTCAGAGCCTCCGGATTTCACATTCCCACCAAGACGGCCAACTGGGCCTCGTCCTATGCCTGGCACAACAGATAGGGATTCCGAAACTTCCAGACTTATAACCCCGTTTGAACCGAGAGCTCAGACACCTGCAGTTGTTGTTACAAGCCCCGGTAATCATCATAATGATAGTCCCATGGGGATGTATAGTGCCGACAGGATTGGTTTTGCAGTGACTTCTAATTCCGAAGCTGAGGGATCATTGAGCCAGTCGTCTCCAAGAACGATCTCAGATTTACTTCCGGATAAGCCAACGTTGGGACTTTACCCGGAACCATTAAGGCTAAGTCGTCAGAAACAGCCCAGACCCCACAGCCATGCGACTCTATTCGAAGAGGATATGACGAGACCACGGAGCGCCTTTGGAGCGCCATACCAGAATCTAAATCAGCCGACTTCGTCAAGCCGAGCTCAAGATACTTGGCGGTACAACCGGGCCCCTATGGCTGGATTGCCTGCGCATCCTCGTGCGATGCTCCACGGTTTTGGGGAAGGCCAGGATGGAAAACTTGCGATGAGAGGTCCGAACTACCGAAAGAGACCTACCTATGCGGAAAGCGCATCAAAGGTTCAGGTCTCCAATCAAGAAGACACTTATGAAAGCCTGCTACAAAGCTCTCCGATCTCGGACGCTGGGGAATTTGTCGACCGGGACCGGCAGCATCGCGGTGCGGGACATGTAAGACTTGTCGGACCGCCCTCGTCGCAGGGTGTTGCAAGTGGTCCGTTCCGTGGCACGGACGTGAACAACAGCATGTTGTACAACCTTGATGACAACTTTGAGGACATCGACATCAACGGCTCGACTAGCAGATTGGACCGCGAATCCCGGCATTCGGGAAATCTACGGCCACTCACGCCAGTGCGTGAAATCAGAACGCCAACGCGAGAATCTCCTACACCGAACTGGGAGCTTGTCTCGAGTGACCAACCCGGTCTTCCCCGGATGCCATTCTCTCGGGCAGTCAGTCCCAGACAAGAAATTGTCTCTCGCCCGCGGATTGTACGACGGGACGATATCAAACGAGTCCAAATTCGGCGGAAGCCACATGCCGGAGGGTTAAGTGCACCATACTCACCTGAAGACTACTGGCTTGGTCATGATCCAGGGCCTGTGTTGGAGACTCAGACACGCAGGCAGTCCACCGATTCTTTGCGTTCCATTGCAAGCGTGAGGGGCCACATGCCGAAGAGGAAGCCGGTGCCGTACGAGCGAAATGTAACCCCATCCCGCAGCGGGTCAGATCTAATACTGCGCGTGGATTGATGGGACATGTCTAATCTAAGGGGTAGGGGTGCTCCATTTCTCGGCCTTGGCTACGAGTGGAACTTTGTCTTCGGTGGACACAATTCAAAACATATATATATATATATATATACATGCTTCTGGGGTGCGGTCTTTCCCTTTCTGGTGTATGATACTATGACATATGTTCACTTGGTGGAGCCAGGTATCTTTCTCTTCTTCAAGGCGATTTATTGACGTTTCATTCTTATTCTCATGAGTGTATATATGCATTGGCTACTATGGGTGGATCTATTAGATATGGGCTTTGTAAAAGGCAGCGAATCCGATTGTGCACATACTTACGGGACTGACTCTGGGCTTCGACCCTCGCCCCACTATTTTCATCTGTCATTTGGGAGACTCACATCCACTAGTTTCAAAAAATAAAAAGATGTCTGATGAGATATCCACGTCCGCTGTGTTGTGAGTCAGATAAGGCTGCAGTCAGCTCAGCAGAGAAAATCACGCAAGCGAATCAGGAGGGCTGCAGAGGCCTTTTCCAAACATAGCGTCTTAGGAATGATGCTTTCCACTAGGCCGAAGTGTCAAAAGGCAATCACAGTTCCAAGTTTACCGCAAAGGCAGATTTCCATGTGAATCCACTCTCTGCCACTATTCTCACTGCAGGGTTGTATTGTTCATACGGTAACGATACAGACGGCGGCCGGGAGAGCTCCGCCATGACGTCAGAAGCAGTGATCAGCCCCTGGCGGATGACTGAGGCAGTGAGGCAGCACTATTCTTGGTGTAGGGAATTCCGGGCCACTTTGAGCATCATGGTTGGCTGTGACCTCACGCTGGAGAAGCACAAGATAACTGGTTAGCGGACTGGCAAAAGAGGAGGCTCGGAAAGTAACATCCATCCACGATCCTTCGCGCAGATGGTGGCTTGAGGAGACTACGACTAGGATGGATGAATGTAGGTTCGTGCATTCGGTAGTCGGTCCGTTCCCTTTTTTTTTTTTCCCTCCCCTCCATCCCTGCCAGTCCGGTTTATCGCTCAGGGCGGGAATGATCTCGATGGCTTGGGGGAAGGTTACAGTGTAGAATAGCTGGAAAGTAAGGCCACGAGGAGGCGTCATTGGCGTTGATGAAGACGGGGGGATCGGGTGTGTTTTGGGCATACAAACTGCACAATTACCGCTTACGTTGTACTATAGTCCCTCGACTGTAGGGATAGAGAGGGTGTATAGTGGTATAGTGTAGTATAGTATAGTATAGCTGTATTATGTATTATTGGTGTTGAGAGTAAAGTGTAAACGAACCGGTATTGAAACTGATGTCAATCTGTCTCCCGCTGCCGTCTTCCTCTCTTTTCTTCTCTCTTTCTCATTTGCTTCCGTGCCATGATATCAGTCCCCGAACTTGATCAAGGATCCGAATTCACCCATTCTCATTTTCGCCGAACGAGTGGGTTTCATCCGGTTTTTCTTGATGGATGGATGGCGAGTAAGTTTGAATCACCCATTCCAAGCCCCCCTCCCATTTTTATATTTATTTTATTTTCTTTTTTTCCTTTTGCACGGTACCTCCCGGGCGTGTCTTTTGACTACCGGTGCCGGGTTGGCGCCTTGACCGTTCCGCGGAGCGAATCACAATGTCAGCCTCTCCCATCATCATCTAATATGGTCAAGGATTCTTCTTCGATATGTATGGCTGACTGGCTTACGACTAAGTTCTCAGACGCACCACTACTAGACACTATGATCAAATAGGAACAATTCAACTATGTTGTAACTTTGGGTGCAAGTGGGGTTCGAACAACCAGAAACTGCTACCGTTACTGAGAACAAAACTTCCAGTTCACCAGTGAGAATGAGTCTTTTGTTGTCCCGACGCGGTCGATGACGGCGCCACGGGCTGCATCACCCAAGGGAGAATATGCCAGGCGTCCTCCACCGCTTGCTCGTTGACTCCTATATAATGGCTCTAGAATCCCATTGTCTGTCAAAAGGTGGCCCCTCTATCTCTCCAGACTCCTCTCTCTCCACTGTATCCATTTCTTACTTCGCCTCCTCTATCTTGTGTATCATACTTCCTCTTTCTTCTCCTGCTTGCTGCACATTGTCATTTCCTCTGGGAACTTGATTCTACTGTGTAGTATATCGTCTTATCAGTGTACATCCTTGCAACGCCAATTGACGTGCATTGCGTGGATTCATTGATCGTCTTGCTTCCCTTGTGGTCTGCTCGACCTCGCGTTAGCCGAAAGACGTTGCCCCTGAAGATCGACTGACGTCGTTGTCGATTGTCTTCCGCAGTGACCGATTCTTGTTCATACTTGGGTCCACAAAAGATCCACTTCCATTGTTGCCACCCGCCCGAGATCCACCCCTATCACTATCCACAATGACAACAGCCGACGGATATGCTACCCCACGGGTAAGCCGGTTGTCGAGCCTGGACGCATCCCAGGCCGACCTCTACGGCGGTCCCAGTGTGATCCTTCCTCCTAAACACTTGATGGCTTCTACCATTTCCCATGAGACAGCCATGGAACTGGAAGCGGCCAAGCAACACTTTGACGAAGAGGTTTCCTCCGAAGAAGGCTCTCCTCGAGTTGCTCCGCCTGTGACCAAGAAGGCCCTCACCACGGCTGACGACTTTGCCTTGGCCTTTGATATTGACGGAGTCCTTATCAGAGGCGGCAAGGCTATCCCTGAAGCTGCCAGCGCGCTCAGGTATATCAATGGAGAGAATCCGTATGGCATCAAAGTGTATGTATCAACGCCCTCTACCGTATTGATAGCGGTGCTCCCTGCTCAGTTTGTAGTCCCTGTGCTGACCGCTCCATCAGCCCTTACATTTTCGTCACAAACGGTGGAGGCAAGACAGAGGAAGAACGATGCATTGATCTCAGTCGACAGCTTGAGCTCGAAGTCTCCCCCGGCCAATTCATCTGCGGCCATACCCCGATGCGCGAGATGGCCGAAAGGTACCACACGGTCCTTGTCGTTGGTGGGGAGGGCGAGAAGTGCCGCATCGTAGCCGAAGGCTACGGCTTTAAGGATGTCATCACTCCTGGAGACATCATCAAGACTCGACAGGACACTACACCGTTCCGCAAGTTGACCGACGAAGAATACAAGAACTCCCGGGTCCGAGACTTCTCAAAGACGAAGATCGAGGCTATCTTTGTCTTTGCTGATAGTCGGGACTGGGCCGGTGACCAGCAGATTATCCTCGACGTTCTGATGTCCAAGAATGGACACCTAGACACCCGATCCGACTCTTTTGACGAGGGCCCGCCTGTGTTTTTCTCCCACAACGACGTGGTCTGGTCCACCTCTCACGAACATGTCCGCATCGGCATGGGAGCTCTTCGAGCCTCCCTTGAGGCGCTGTACAAAGCCGTCACTGGCAAGGAGCTCAACACGATCGCCTTTGGCAAGCCCCAACTCGGCACATACCAGTTCGCTACGCGGTTGTTGCGACAATGGCGCAAGAACACCCATGCCATCAACAAGCCTCCCAGCACTGTGTATTTCGTGGGCGATACCCCCGAGTCAGACATTAGGGGCACGAACGAGTTCAACGAGACCAGTGACGCCGACTGGTTCTCCATCCTGGTCAAGACTGGTGTTTACCAAGAGGGCACTATTCCTCGCTATCCACCCAAGAAGACTTGCAACCATATTCTAGACGCGGTCAAATTTGCCATTGACCGCGAGATGGCCAAAGAGAAGAAAGACGGGTCGTCTTTCGTTGACGATGTTGACTCGGAACTTGAGCTAGAAGCGGGCCTTCTGCCCAATTGATTTTCTTTTCTACCGGTGGTAGTTGGATGATACAGTTGTGGTGCATGTAGATTCCTATCATTCTTGTTTACTATTACTTTTTTATGGATACCTCTATGCTATGAATGTATGACAGATATGTATTTTTTGAGCATTGGGTTTACTACATTCATCTTCTACTACACTTTTATTATTGTTAGGAATTTCATCATGAGAACTACTTACTACCTACTTCTCCCTCTAGCAGCACCTCAACCCATTAGATTACTAATAGTAGTAAGCATTTGCCGTAAACCCGAAAGTAGAATAACGAAAACATGGATACAACCCCCCTCGTCCCCTGTATCAGTCCTTTACAATAGAATGGGTAAAGAAATACTCAAGTACCCACCCACCACATCCACCGTACCCATTGAATCCTACCAACCAAAAAAACCAACTACCTCGGCCCATCCACTCCTCCTTCCATACCTACTCAACCCAAGAAAACCTCATACTCAAATCAAATACTTGTGTAACAACGCAACCCCAGCCCAGTCTAGTATTCGTTCATAATCCAATCCCATCCCACCACAAGCCGAAACCGGCACTCCCCCAAAGGCAAAGTTTCATCACACAATCTCACGGAACATCCCAATAAGGCAACTCCGATAACTTACCTACGCAACTCCCCCCTCAGCCCAATACCAACCACATTAACATCCCGAATAAGGTTAGTTACTTAACTTCCTTACTTGTGTGGGGGTTTACTGGTTAGTAGTAAGTAGTTAGTTATACCCCCCCCCCTCCCCTCCTTTCTCCTCTAATACTACAAGATAATATAGTTATAGCATCCCATCCGTGCGTATAACCGCTGCCTAGCTAGCTAGCTAGCTGCACGGCAGACGTCAGATGTAAGAAAGAAAGAAACAAAGTAAGGAGAAAATGCGGGGGAAGGAGAAGGGAAGATTCCTAGCGCGGTGGGGTCGGTCACTTCCATCCCCTTTCTTTCTTTTTTAGCATGCATGCGGTTATTTGCAGGATACGCTGCATTGCATAATATGTTCTCTGGTAGTTGTGGGTAATGCATCTCTCTTCCGCCGCTGGGTTCGGGTTCGGGTCTGGGGTACATGATGATTGACATGGCATCAATGAGTACTCCGTGCTTATGCCTATGGGCATATCATATGGTGGTGCAGTGGTGGCTGGATGTCATGTGGGGTGGTATGGGTGGGTAATGGAGGGAAGTTTATCTGTACTCTA